GCTCAAGTGGCAGAGCGCTAGCCTTGAGCTGAAGAGCTGAGGGACAGCGCCCAGGCCCAGAGTTCAGGCCCCACGACCGGACCCAAAAAAAAAAAAAAAAAAGAAAAAGAAAAAAAATATTAGAAAACGTTGCATTAGAAGTAGAGGGTATAAGACACCAGGATGTGGGATCAGCATGTGGGCTGATCCCCAGCACCACCGAAAATGAAGTTACATTAGATATGAACTGATCATTTTAATTGCTAGAAACCATGAATTACTTTAGATTGGGATAAAAAAAGAGATTAGTCACTAAATCTAACCTAAATATTGACCCCCAAAAAATCCTAAGTCACTGTAATTTTTTTTCTAGCTTTATTTTTCCTGAGCAAAAGGCCAAATTCAGGGCCTTGAATCTGCTAGGCAAGTAAGTGCTCTTCCATCGAGTTAAATCCCCAACCACAAATTTTTATTTTTTTTAATAATACTACTTTTAAGGCAAAACAATCAATAGTAGTAATACTAGTAATAATAATGTCAATAAAACAAAATAAATCATCCACAAACCAAAGATTAAAGTAGGGAAATAGTTTTATTCTAACATTACTTTATATTTATTCTAGATACCTGCTTCCAGATGTGCAATTAAACCTTTTTAAGAGCACTAATTTTGAAATATAAAAATAATTTGAGTGACTATTACATTAGTAAATTAACATGAGAGAACACTAATTATACACAATAATTAAAATAAAAAATACAAAAACACTAACAGAGTGGAAATGGCTTGACTTCACCTTTTGTGAAAATATAAGACATGACTCATTGATGAAGCCCTTCTCATGGATACAAATGTTAAGTCAACAAGTAAAACCGATTAAGTGAAATAAATCATAATCTATATTTGTTATATATGTAGGTTAACAGTCAAATTTTAAAGCTTATTAGTAAACATTATAACCCTTAAATATGGAAAATTTTCAGCTGAGAACAGGTCTAGATTAAGTTTCTTCTTCTGGTTTTGTTTTTTTAGTTTTAAAATAAAGATAGCAATATAAAAGAATAAAAAAATTATTTGACAAAAAAGTTTTGTAATAAATGCCAGGTTTATTTTTGATTATGTCGTCTGACACTTATAAAGGTCAACATAACAATGAGCCTGTTCAAAAAATTCCAAACACAGAAAAGGTCACAATCTTACTAGTGTATATAATTATCAGCTATTTAGATGAGGTGGAAAATAACATGGAAATAATTGTCCCAGTTAAGAATATTTAACTCCCCCATGTGAAACTAGGCAGTTTATAAAGGACCTCACCTGATGTTATCAATTAGTGTGCACTGCTAAAAAGTCAGAATAAGAGAGGGCACCAACACAAATGGTTCAGAACTGTGAGAAAGACAAGTTACCCCGTTACCAGGCTGTCACCTGGGAACTACCTCAAGTTTTCCTGACATATACCTTGGATGAGAAAGGATAGTCTTAAAGAAAAACTAAAATACCCTGAAAGAAATGGAAACTTACCAAGTCTAAGTGAACAACAGAGAAAAAAAGTCTATCTATATCTCTCATACACACTTGCACCTCTAGACCTAAAGAGCTTTGCTTCCATGTAAAAGTCAAATCCTACATACAAACCTAATTTCACTTTCTAGATCTCTTATGTTCCTGTCCATTTTCAACGTTAACTATCAGTTCTTCATGATTGGTATGATTATTTTAGTGCTGAATAAATTATCAGCAACAACAACAAAAAAGCAGTAGGAATCAAATTAAATATTAACTTCCAACATAAAAAATATTTTAATGAAGATCCAGAGTACAAGAATACACTTAAATTTTAAAAGATTTTTTATAGTCCCCACACAAACATGCACCCTCCCAAAACAATCTCTGTAACAACTAAAACAAGAGCAAAATGAAGTTAGATGGTTTATGAAATGCATAAACAAATAACTTTCCTCTAAAATACTTAGCTTTATTAGAGAAATGGTACTGAAAAATAACAAAGATTCAAACATATGCTCTATTCTACTTACATATCATAAATAAGACAGCTGTTGATGTAAGACACACAATCCTTCACAATCTTCCCATATGCATCCAAGCATTCTTATATCAGAATAAGCTGTTTACCAGCCAACATATGTGGCTGAATGATTACAATGACCATTTATACTTTACATAGTAAAGCATTTTCTAAAATTTTAATGTACACAGTGAAAAAAACACAGTAATTCTGAACACATGAAGATGATTAAGCAGCTTCATAATCAAATCAGGCTTCATTACTTGCAAAAAGGGCAACTCTTTCCATTCTCCACCAAATGCTTAAAAGTTTCAACAGTATTAACATTAAAACTCAAGTTGAAACCAAGTAACTTATGTGCTACTTAGCTTTAAATCTATAACTCATCCCATGAGGTAAGGCAACTGAGTAATTTGATTGTATTAGACTGCATTAAAATAATTATACTTGATTTTTTTAACATGCTAATTTATCACTTTTTTGGAAATGTAACAATGCAAAGAGTTCAGAGACTACAGGTAATAGTTTGGGGAGAAAACTTTAGCACTGTTGTCGTTTAAATACTTTTCTGTGAAAAGCAAGCCTAATAATGATGGATGACCTATATTTTAAACTCAAGTAAATGCATCTTTAAACATAAAACAAGATCCTGTATATTCCTAGTCCTCCCTTTAAATATAATTTCTACATATCACTTATGAGAATATGATTGAGAGGTAATAATTAAGGCCATCCAAAATAGTCAACTAAATGGTTTGATTTGAGGAAAATAAAAGCATGTTCATTTTCAATTATCACAGTATAAAACAGATGGTCCCAAAACTGAATTGTTTAATTAAACCCTAAAGTCTTCAAAACAGGACTTCTCTAAGTAAGCTCTTCTGCATACCACTTATATGCTTCTCTATGGGTGTCAATAGAGTAACCATTTAGATTACATATGAATTGAGAATGACTAACACATATAAAACTCTAGAAACAGTATACCACATTGTAGAAGGCACTAAAGCTTCAGCTTGTGCTCCATAGCCCATTTTGAAAACCCAGTTTCCTTTGCCACCTACTGCTGAAAAAATACACTGCAATAGTACTCATAATAAACTTGGAAATATCAAGAAACTTCTAAAAGAAACTGTTACTGTGTGGGTAGACCCGTTGACTCTAAACACTGAATACTAATATATTTTTTTAGTATTCAGCACAGTTGCTCTTCCTTTTTGAAAGAGAACAGTAGCATGCATTGTCAGTTGTTTTATAATCCACTTATTTAAGTAACTTTAATCTGTAAAACTATTTAAAGAAAAACTGCTGTCCTAAGCAGTGAGCAAAAGAAAACACAATAGTGAGAATTTACCACAATCACTGTAAATCCTGTGAAGTAATTGTTAAAACATCTTACATACTTTGCACTTACAAGTGTGTGTATATATATCTGCACCGATTTCAAGCACATCAACCTATATATATTGAACTTTTTTTAAAAAAAGTAAAACAATACAAAATTCAGTAACTAGCATTTTTTAAAGAGTCTCCAATGCTTATCTCAAGTCTTTAGGGAAAATAGAAAGGTGGATCTTTGATGTTTAATTTGTTTGCAATGGTTCTTGGCAAACACTAACAAACCACACAAGTGTGTCAGCCATCATGGAAATGTACAGATTTTAGATGATGAGTTTGGGTAACATCTGGTATTTTCATGTTGTCCATGCTTTATTTTCTTACTCAGTAACAAGATGTTCACAACATCAACTAAGAGGTGGAGAAGCTTTAGAGCCTATCTTTATACTCCATTAGGTTTCCTTGCTGTTTACGTCTTGCTGAGAGAATGGAAAGCTTTGGATTTTATTCCAGCGTTGACTGTAAAGGTACATTAGTCCTATACCACTTCTGTTTTGGTAGTGAGGCTCTCTTCATTTGGCTGACAATTCCCATTCTGTTGTACTTTGCTTTCCTCAGTCCTTGGTGCATCTTTGTCATCTACTTCTTTGCTCACACTTGAATCTGGTTCTTTATTGTGCTCTTTCTCCTACAATATTAAAGTACATATTTACTACTTTCAACCTGCCTATTTTCACTAAATGATGTAACTTCATCTTTGGGGAATAAATAAAACTGGAGTCTTTTCTTCCACTAAAAATGTATGTATCTGTGTGTTAATGGCTCATGCCTAAAATAGTAGCTACTCAACTTAGGTTGACATCTAAGGATGGCAATGGGAAGCCAGCCTGGGCAGGCTAGTCCATAAAACTCTTATCTCCAAGTAACCACTGAAAAGCTGGAAGTGGAGCTGTGGCTTAAATGGCAGTGCTGGCATTGAGCACAAAATCTCAGGGACAGCCCCCAGGCCCTGAGTCCAAGCCTCAGGACTGGCACATATACAAAAAGAAGCATGTAAAAAGCTATCAAAATTTGCCCTTTCTGCTTTCTTCAAAAGATGGACAATCCACAGAAATTAAAATAAGTGAAACAAAAATTGCAAGTGTAGAATGAATGGTTACGGAAGACCTATGAACAGGAGCTAAATCTATTGAAACAATGCAACTGCTTTCAGCTGGGTGCCAGTGGCTCATACCTGTAATCCCAGCTACTCACGAGGCTGAGATCTAAGGATCACTGTTCAAAGCCAGCCTGGGTAGCAAAGTCTGTGAGATGCTTATCTCCAATAAACTCCTCAGAAAAAGTTGGAAGTGGAGCTGTGGCTCAAGTGAGAGAGCACTAGCATTGAGCACAGAGGCTTAGGGGCAGTGCTCAGGCCCAGAGTTCAAGCCCCAGGAATGGAGAAAAAAAAAAGAAACTGTTTTACAGATCCAATGAGAGGGCTGGGATGTAGCTCAGTGCAAAACACTTGCCTAGAAAGTGCAATGTCCTGGGTTTGATCCCCAGTACCAAAACAGAAAAGCCCCCCCCCGCAAAAAAAAAATAGTTAAAAAAAAAAAAAGATGCAATGAGAAATAAAAATAGGAGAATGGAGAAAATCCTATCAGGAAAGACTAAAACAGGCCTAATTCTGCCCTCAGCTTAAATTAGAACAAAGAATATGTGGCACATATTGAATACACATTCAATAGATATTACTGTTATCACCAGTGATGGCAACAAACCTCTGCAATGAAAGTAAAAATTACATAATTTTAGAACTCACGATGTACAAATATAAATATGCCTTAAGGATAGTAAACAGATACAATTCCGTAAGTATTTAAAATATCCAAGAAAAAGTTTGCTTGGTGGAAAATGGCTTTCAACTATGTATTATTCAACAAACCTGACTTTAGCTATATGTTACAAAAGCAGTAACAGAAAGCCTCGTCAAATTTGCAAAAATGTATATACTGAGGAAAATGGCATCAGGAAGAAATCTTAGCCAAATGTATTTATTAGCTGTAGATTTTATAAAAAAATTTTCTTATTGTATGCCACTTTCTGAATTCTCTAAAGAATACAATTGCACAAATACTGTCTTTAAATTTTAATTTTAAAAATTGTTAATAAATATTAATAATATTTAACGACACTAGCAATACACAGGATACAGCTGCTTCAAAAAGCTTGCAGTTTAAAAACAATCTCAGTTATTTTATGCCCAGGTCCTGATTGCTCCTTACTTTAACTGAGGTGCTGTTCTTCTCCAGCTTCTCCTTCCCATCTCTGTCATTAGAACTTTTCCTAGTGGACGTTGAACGTTCTCTTTCTCTTCTTTCACTGATATGGTCCCTTTCTTTTTCTCTCTTTTTGTCTTTCTTATTTCGACTGTAAGAATATTGAAATATGTCAGTAAAATTATAAAAAACTACCTATTGTATTGACTAAATACCCTTATCTAATACAAGATCTCTAAAATAATCCACTACAAATGATACTATTAAAATGGTTTGAAAAAAAAAAATGGGATAGGGAGCCTATGATCTGACCTGTACTCTTTAGCTCAATTCGTTTTTTACAGATACATATCATTTTGCGGCAACCACAATGTGTTCACATAAAACATGACACACTGTCAGTTTGTATTACTTTTTAAATATTCAAGATTTATTTATCTACTGGGATAAGGACAAAAATAAGACCAAATACAGTTGGCTTGTATCTGTGGATTTAACAGAATCCATAGATTCAATTAACAACAAATCAAAAATATATGGGAATAAAGACGCATCTGGGCTGAATATGTGGCTTAATGGTAAAGTGCTTGCCTAGCATGCATGAAGCCCTGGATTCCATTCCTCAGTACCACATAAACAGAAAAGTCCAGAAGTGGCACTGTGGCTCAACTGGTACAGTGCTAGCCTTGAGTGAAAGAAACTCTGGGACAGTGGCCAGGCCCTGCGTTCAAGCCCCAGGACTGGACAAAAAAAAAAAGTTGCATCTGTACTATGTATTTTTTTGGTGGTACTGAGAACATGCATTCTACCACTGAATGATAGTCCTAGCCTTGATATTTTTTCTTGTCTCTAAAATAATATAACAATCGTTTACATAGAATTTACATTGTATTAGGCATTATATATAATCTGGAGATGAAAAAGTTCCCAAGAGGATGGTGTACATCATTTATAAATATATCACTTTGTGTAAAGGTTGAGCATCCATGGATTTTGGTATCCATAGGAAATCCTGGATACAATCACCCGTGGATTAGATATAATTGTACAGTATTTTCTTATGTATTTTTCAAAGCAATATGGGAATAAAATGGACTAAAGAAGGAAAAACAAAAATAAAGAACCAGATGTAGTTCTAGGCAGAGCTGAATGACCACTAGCAAAGTTCAAATAACCTATTATTATATCACTAGCCTTCTCATAGGAAACATCTGGCCCAAAGGCCACAAAGTTATTAGGTACATGACTAGACAGACACATATGCTTCTTGTGAGCTGTCTGCAGTTATTAGCCTTTATTGTGCAATATTTTTTTTGGGGGGGAGGGGGGCCGGTCCTGGGGCCTGAACTCTGGACCTAGGCGCTGTTCCTCAGCTCTTCAGCTCAAGGCTAGCTCTACCACTTAAGCCACAGCGCCACTTCTGGCTTTTTTTTTCTTTTTGCTTATGTGGTGCTAAGGAATCGAACCCAGGGCCTCATGCAAGCAAGGCAAGCACTCTACCACTGAGCCACCTTCCCAGCCCCTGTGCAATGTTATAAATACCCAAACTGCCATTGGCAGACACAGGGAAAGGGAAGAGAAAAGGATAGGAAAAGATATGAAAAGTAACTGAAGACAAAAAAAGGCTGAAATAAAAACTTAATGAAAGAGCAAAAAATTGTACACTGGAAAAGATAACACAGTGCTGAAACACATAAATAAGATTTAAATATTGTTAAGATTAAAATACCAACCAAGAGCAATGTATTCTCTCAATGCAATCACTATCAATATTCCAATAGCAGCCAGGTGTTGGTAACTCAAGCCTATAAACCTATTGAAGCAGGAAACAGACAAGGAAGGAATCACAGTTTGAGGCCAGTCCTGTCAGAAAAATCTGCAAGACTCCATCTCCTAATTACTAAGCAAAAAGTCAGGGTGGAGATATGGCTCAAATGGTACTCCTCCAGCCAACAAGTGACAGGCTCTGAGTTCAAACCCCAATATATAAAGAAAAAAATACCAATAGCATTGGTTTACAGATACAGAAAAACATTCTAAAATTCATATGGAATCCTGATGGATCTGCAAAAGACCATAACAATGTTTAAAATAAAAAAATAAAAAGCTGGAAGACTTTTCTTGATTTCAAAATAACTGTAAAATTACAATAACTGAAAATGTGATACTAGTGTAAGAATCAAAGGTCTGCAGAAGAAAGCCAAGAAATAAACTCTCATGTATAGAGCCAAATTGTTTTTTTTAAATTATTTCTTATTATCAACCTACCTCCTAGGGGATGGAGACCTAGAAGATTTTCTTTTTAAGGTTTTTGATGTTCTTGGTGATCTGGAAGAACTCCTGCTTCTCCTCCTCCGCCTTTCCCTACAAGTCAGAAATGTCATTTTTAAAAATCACAACTGGGTAAAAAAACAGTAGTGTAAAAAATGTAAAAGAAAGTTGGGCACCACTGGATCACACCTATAATCCTAGTTCCTTAGGAGAGGAGATCAGAAAGACTGAGACTTAAGCACTAGCTTAACATACATTCATGATTCTTTCTCACTTTGTAGCTGGGTATGGTTTAATTGTCATCCAAGCTACAGCAGCAAGAGTAAAATAGGCAGAGATGGTAGTCTAGGCTCAGACCTGGGCAAAAGCAAGACCCTACTTCAATAATCAGTGCAGAACAAGGCTGAAAGGGTGGTTCACTGGTAGAATGTCAGCCAAGCTAGCATAAGACTTGGTTCAAACCCTGGCACTGCCTTAAAATTTCTTTTTAAGTGTGTATGTGTATATAAATGTAAAAGAGACCTTGATACTCTCAAATAAGTAGTATTCTTAAGAAGCCTGTTTATTAATTTAGACAGGATCTTAAGATATAGCCCAAGCTAGCCTCAAACTCATAATTTGATTCCCTTAACCACTCAAGTGCTAGAATTTCATAAAAGTACCACTCCTCCTTATGTGTACTTTAACACCCCCCACCCTGCCTTTTTGGTGCTAAGAGTCACTTGAAGGGACCTCCTTCAAGATAAACACTTTACCTCTAAGCTACATCTCTAACACCCTTAAAGGCCAGTTCAATTCACATTCTTTATAAATATGTACTATTATCTGATTTCAGTGAAGGTTAAAATATAAACCATAAATTATACAGACTTAAAAAACCATCATGTAAGACTTGAAACGAGAAAGGGTATAGGATCTCATTTTTATGTTACACATAAACAATAATTGATGTCTCATATTTTCAAGTTAAATCTTCCTTAATAATTTATGTTTTTCCTATAGGTCCTTAGTCATGCATCTAACTATGCTTCTTGCTGCCCTCTGTGGAACAAACTTTCTGTGAATTAGTATTCAGTATCTCAAAAAAAAAAGGTAGGAAAATTACTGTTTTATAGAAAAATTGCCATTCCCACTATTATTGCTATCTACAAACTTAATAATCAGAATCTAAATATGGCAAGGTAAGCAATAAATACCAAATAGTTTAAAAACTATGGTGGCTACTTGGGAGGTAAATACTGGGAGCAATGCAGATCCAGGCTATCCTGGACAGAAAAATTCATGAGACCCAATTTCAACAGAAGAATTGTGGTATGGACCTGCCTGAAACAAAAAACAAGACACTATCTGAAAAATAATCAGAATAAAAAAGCATTGGATGATAGTGCAAATGGTCAAAAAGAAATGTCCTCAGCTGGGCACTGGTGTCTTGTGCCTGTAATCCTAGCTACTCAGGAGGCTGAGATCTGAGGATCATGGTTCAAAGCCAGCCAGGGCAAAGAAGTCCATGAGACTCCAATCAACTACTCAGAAAAAGCCCGAAGTGGTGCTATGGCTCAAATGATAGAGTGCTAGCCTTGGACAAAAGCAGCTTAGGGACAGTGCTCAGGCCCAGAGTTTTGCTTTAGGACCAGCAAAACAAAAAAACAAATAAAAAGGGAAATGTACTCATTACTTGACTTATGAAATGGTAACCCCTGTACATCACCCTTTTTTTTGGGGGGGGGGGTTCGGTCGTGGGGCCTGAACTCTGGGCCCGGGCGCTGTCCCTCAGCTCTTCAGCTCAAGGCTAACACTCTACCACTTGAGTCACAGCGCCACTTCCGGCTTTTTTCTTTTTGCTTATGTGGTGCTGAGGAATCGAACCCAAGGCCTAAGGCATGCAAGGCAAGTGCTCTACCACTGACCCACCTTCCCAGCCCCTACATCTCCCTTTATTATAATAAAAACGAATTTAAATTTTTTTAAATATCTAATTTTTTTAAAGAGCGTAAAAAAAAGGGCTGGAGATATAACTCAAGAGGCAGAGTGCTTTTCTATTAAGTGTGAAGCTTAACCTTCAGTTTCCTATAAGTCTTCTAATAAGCTGTTGTGAGAATTAAGTAAGATGAGACATGAAAAAGTCAGTAGACATAGTATTTGGCACATAGTAAAGTACCCAACGAAAGTCTGACATTACCTCTTATCTTTTAATATTAAAGGCTATTAATAAATTGTAAAAGCACAAATTTAAAAACCAGGAAACATCTTCCTTAATTGTTTTCAATGAAAACTCATCATTAATATTTGCTGTATTTTTTTAACATCTTTATGAGACAATTTAACAAGTTAAGAAATTCCAGTTGAGTCATGGTTTCATAGGTTTAGATGACTCTGGGGAAGGTTGTCTTCTGCAGCCTTCCTTCCTATGGCAACGTGCTGCCACCCGATGGCAGGGCACCTGTTGGTAAACTCAAAGGTCTTAAGACAAACAGCTAAGCTGACAAAGGACAATCAACATTTCAGTGCTATACACGCAACATGAAAGATAAAATATTAATCCAGGTGACTACGAAACTACTTTAAAAAATCATTTTTGGCTGCAATGCTTGATAAGAAATGTACTCATTATCTTGCCCATGTAATTGTAACCCCTCTGTACAGTATGTTCACAATAAAAAAATAAATAAAATAAATCATTTTTGCCTGTTAAAATTTACCACGCTACTTCAAAGAATAATAGACCAGTAGTTCAATTTAGATATATATGTAATTTCATATATTACTATATACATAAACATCTTATAGTTTAAATTTTAGTATTTTTGAATACCTACAGTGACATCCTATCCTCCAAGAAAATAATTACAATAATCACCTGTGTTGAAATAGTGTACTGTAAAACACAGCTAAAAATTTTCAATTATCTTGTCCAACATCACCTCCTTTCTCACAGATTCAGTACTGTAGCAATCCTTCTCAAGAACTATTCAGTTTGCAATTAGGGGAAATGTTCCGAGAAAAGACTGGTACCATTTTCAGTTTATCTTTTCTCTTTGGCTAAACTCTAAGTTCCCATTTGTCATTAATAAACCGCTTAGTGAAAAACATTAATTATTATCAAACCTGCTGGTACTACGAGATCGTCTGGAGGCATTGTAACTTCTGGGTGGTGTTCTGGACTTCTTATCCTTCTTCCTTTTTTCATCTACCTCTTTGGCTTTGTCCTTTTCACGCTCCTTTTCTTTGTCCTGCTCCTTTTCTTTTTCTTTGTCTCGTTCCTTTTCATGTTCTTTTTCCCGCTCTTTCTCTCTATCCTTTTCCTTGTCTTTTTCCCGTTCTTTGTCTCGGTCTTTATCTTTGTTCCTGCCCCGTTCCTTCTCTTTTTCACGCTCCTTTTCCCTTTCTCTCTCTTTTTCTCTTTCTTTGTCTCTATCTTTAACTCTTTCCTTTTCCTTCAGCTTTTCTCGTGTATCTTTTCTCTTGTCCCTTGAAAAACAAACAGAAATAAATTCATAACTAAAATAATTCTATGCAAAAAGGACCTCCCCCCTTCAAAAATTACCAACACAAAATAATGTATAATGGCTACAGATACTACATATAAATTTCTATATAACTCAGGTGTACACAGAGCTGGTGAATGAAGTGATTACCAGGCTAAGTAGTTTGGAAACCTCATGAGTCACAATGATAGTCAGATTCAAGTAAGTGACAATGAGTATTAATCCTAGATTACTAAAATAATAAAAAAAACTTATTTCTCTCATAAACATAAACCACACAGATTTTTAAAACATGAAACCAATGACAGCTTATACATAATTTCTCTGAAGCTCACCGTGAACGTGAACGACTCCTTGACTTCCTCCTCTCTCTTGACTTGGAGCGTTTTTTATGTGGGCTCTTAGATCTCCGTCTATCTTTCTGTCTTGAATGCGATCTGTTGTGGGATCTACTTCTGAAGAAAAACAAATGTTAGGAAATCAAAACTTAGAACTTCAACTATAAAAAAGTTACGTCTTTCAAATAAGAAATCGTAAACATTTATCCTAATAGTATTAATAAATATTTTAAAACCCTCTTCGTTTATTAATTAGAAATTTTACCAGATGTCTCAATGTGTAAAACAGAAAGAATTAAATAGTTATTTCCTATGTCAGACTTACGTTGATATTTTCAGGAAAGACTTCCTTTTCCACCAAAATATTAGATGCCTCAAATTAAAGATTTTTATGTTAGCCTAAGTTTTCACACCATATACTGTCTTTAACTCTTGGTTTGCTTGTAATCTGGTTATGATTCATCTTGACAGAGAGTTATGTGGCTCAGTGGGTGTGTACCAGTTTGCCACAAAAAAATAGAATGTGGTGTATGGTGTATAACATGTGTACACCGTTATATGTTATAGACTGTGATAGACAATTTGCTCCAGGAAAGTTAGAATGAACTTGTGACTTTAAATGAGTATCATTATTCCACAATACTGTGAAATTCGGAAAATTATGTAATCACTTAATCACAATCAAAAAAAAAAAAAAAAGAACCTCGGGGAAGGTAGGGAGGGAAGGGATGGTAGGGGGAAAACAATGGAGGGGGTAACAATGCTCAATAGGAAGTGTACTCATTACCTTACTCATGTAACTGTAACCCTCTGTATAGTATCTTTACAATTAAAAAAAAAAAGAACATGGAAGTAAATATATCACAGTACTTCATAACAGTGAGACAAGAAAATAAAAATCATTACACATGAAATTAAGCTAGATGCACACAGCTTTAGTAACAAAGTAAACAGCTTCACCGGCTTTAGAGTTTTGACAATGCAGCCCTAAAACTTAGCTCTGACACACACACATACTAACCGTGAGCTCTGACTAGTTCCTATCCTGTCTAAATTTTAGTCTGTAGAGGAAGATTCTCATCTAGATCTCCCATAGGTGTCATGAGGACTCAATCCCATGTATGTAAAATTGCCTAAAGCCTTACAGAGTAAATATTTAAAACTTTAATTCAAAGTATGATTTTTTTTTATAAAGTAGGAGCTTTATTTCTCCAGTGACATATTTATAGTTTAACATAAATTAGAGGCCTGCTTGAACACCAAATCCAGGACCTTTAGGTGGTTCAGTCAAAGAGGTAAGACCTCCAGCTGACTCACAAAAGAAACGTCCACTCCTTGGCCCAGGTTTTGGAACTTGGCCAGCTTTGAGGTCATCTATAATGTCTTCAATATCTTTACATGTCAGATCCTCATAATAGTTGTCATTTATTTGAACCATTGGTGCATTTACACAAGCCCCTAAACATTCCACCTCTGTAAGAGTGAAAAGTTTGTCAGGTGTTGTCTCCCCAACCTTCAGTTCAAGCTTTTTCTGAATGGCATCCAGTATGCTGTCAGAGTTAGGAAGCCTGCAAGGTGTGGTAGTGCAGACCTGAATGTGGTATTTTCCAACTGGCTTTCGATTATGCATTGTATAAAAAGTTGCAACTTCATATACTCTCATTGGAGGTACTTGTAAAACTTCTGCAACCTGTTCATAGCAGATATGGGCAACCAGCCATGCTGAATTTGGGCTAAATCCAGGACTGGGAGCACAGCTGCTGCTTTGTGTCCTTCTGGATAGTTTTTCACAATTGCTTCTATTCTCTTATAGTTTTCTGGTGTGAAATCAAATGGGATATCTGGGTTATTCTCAGGCGTATCTCTGTGCACAAATAAGGCTCCTCCAGCACCATTTTGCACAGATGACTTATGCAAATTCCTTATTTGTCTTCCCCACTGGGGAGTGAGGCTGGCTGCTCTGGCCTGAAATGCCAGGGAGAAGAACATGGCGGGCCAAACTGTACAGTGGTCAAGGCTGCACTAGGAGAGACTGCTCAAAGTATGATTATTAAAAAAAGAAATATGTACTTTTTTTTTTGGGTCCAGTTGTGGGGCCTGAACTCGGGGCCTGGGCGCTGTCCCTCAGCTCTTCAGCTCAAGTCTAGCGCTCTACCACTTGAGCCACAGCGCCATTTCCAGCTTTGTTTCTTTTTGCTTATGTGGTGCTAAGAAATCGAACCCAGGGCCTCATGCATGCAAGGCAAGTGCTCTACCACTGAGCCACCTTCCCAGCCCCGAAATGTATACATTTTAAATTATATCTTTATTGCAGACAAGTCAAATGAACTTTTCCTAAGTATTTTTTATATAACAAACTCATTTTGATGGTTATGCTTTTAATAACCTAGAATACCTACGTGTGTGTGTGTGTGTGTGTGTGCGCGCGCGCGCGCGCTGATCCTGGGCCTTGAATTCAGGGTTCAAGGCTTGGCTCTGCCTTGGCTTTTCTGGGTGGCTAATTGGAAATAAGGAGTCTTATGGACTTTCCTGCCTGAAATGGCTTCGAATTGCAATCCTCAGACCTCAACTTCCTTAGTAGTTAGGATTACAAGCTTCAGCCAATGGTGCTTGGTGAAAACTTTTAATACATATTCTTAGTCAAAATTTATTTCCCTACAGATAATTTTCAACAATTTGTCTATTATACAGCTTTAATTTTAAAAAAATCTTGATATCACATTCTTTTTTCTTGGTAGGACTGAGACTTGAACTTAGGGCCTTGTTCTTGCTAGGTAAATGCTTACCACTTGAGCCATGCCCCAGTACGCGTGTGCGTGTGTGCGTGCGTGCGTGTGTGTGGTTTTCTTTTTGGTAAGAGTTCTGGGGCTTAAACTCAGAGCCTGGGAGCCGTACCTGAGCTTTTTTTGCTCAAGAATAGATGTGCCACACAGCTCTACTTCCAGCTTTTTGGAGTTATTTGGAGATAAGAAACATGGATTTTTCCCAACCAGGCTTGACTTTGGACCAAAATCTTCATATCTCAGCCATCTGAGTAGCTAGGATTACAGGTATGAGCCACCAAAGGCTAAGTAATAAAAAGTAATCTTTTAAAGTGCCTTTGCTTTTATGTACTTAAAGTTTAAAGATTTCTAGTCTAGTAAACTATGCTAAAATATAAATTCTTGCTTTATTTTCCTCAAAGCAGTTAATTTCTAACATTAATCAAACAAAGGAACTTCTTTTCTTTTCTTTTTTTGGTGCCAGTCTTGGGGTTGAATTTATTTATGGTCTGGGTGCTGTCCCTGAGGGTTTTTTTGCCCAAGGCTAGTGCTCTGCCACTTGAGTCACAGTTCCAACTCTGGCTTTTTTAGTGCTTAATTGGAGTTAAGTCTCCTGGGCTTTCCTTCTCCAACTGGCTTCAAAGCATAATCCTCAGACCTAGCCTTCTGAGTAGCTAGGATTACAAGTGTGAGCCAATGGCACCTAGCTTGAAACTTAAAAAAAAAAAAAAAACACAACAACCAAAAACCTAAGCATAGGCTGGACCAATCACTTGCTTTCTACTTTACCAATTAGATTTAGAGTTCAAAATCCACTGCCCAAAAGAAATTGCATTTTAGTTTCAGCTCTATCTTACCTACCAACAATTTTGTGATTATGAATGCTAAATGTAATCAAGAGTAGGGATAATCTAGGGCTGGGATGTAGCTCAGTGGCAAAGCGCTTGCCTAGCAAGTGCAACATCCTGGGTTCGATCCCCAGTACCAAAAATGAGAAGACAAAAAAAATACAGCTAAAAAAAAACCCAAACCAAAGAAAAGAGTAGGGATAATCTAGCCAAAGACAAAGATACATTATCACTAGTAGTTTTTTCATTCTTTATAATTTGTAAAATTATACTTTTAAATTATAAATAAATAGTAACTTACTGTCGTGTTCTAAGTTAGTTGCTTTTCATTAAAACATAGTAAAATGTCTTATAGTTCCTATGCTGGTCTATAAAGCTGACTTAAAAATACAACACTCTTACCATACTGATGTTAAGAGAAATGAACCCCAAGATAGGGACACAAGAGGTTTTTTTCTTTGTTGCTGTTGTTTTTAATGTACAACGTGGGTTTTTTTTTAATATGTTCTTCCCCCATGATATAAACCCTATTGTCACTGTATTTGACTCCAGTACCCTGCATCTTGTATATACATTTTTCTAATTTGGGGAGGGGAAGGGAAAAAACAAAATGATGAAACAAGGATACAGACTGACCCATTGAAATGATGACATACAAGACACTATGTTGAAAACAAACTTGGGGCGGGGGGAGGGACAGTAGGGGACAAACAAAGGAGGGGATTAACAATGCTCAATAGGAAATGTACTCATTACCTTACGACACTGTAACCACTCTGTATAGTATCTACATTCCCACATTTTCTAACACTATCTCTCTGAAGAAAAAATCAAAATTTGAACAATGTAGAAACATAATTCCCAAGTCCTAGCCAGAAACATCATCACAAGAAAAATCTTCCTCTCTCTTACCATCATAAGGGGAAGGAACAATGGCGAAAGGGAGCGTAAATCATACCAATCTTTCCTTAATTGAAAAAGTTTACACATTTGTGGGATACAGTGTGATAAAATACATATACAATATGTAGTAATCAAATGGGAATTTAAAATTCCAACTCCTCTAATTCTTTGTAAAAGGTATAATAAACTCATAAACTAAAACCATCCCACTGCAGTGTGGAACTTAAGAACATATTCCTCCCATTTAAGGGTATTTTAGTGCCCCTTATCCAACCTTCTCTGCTTCTTTCCTTTTAGGAACTAGAAATTCTGTTGAATGAAACTCTGTGAGCTCCCACATGGCTGTGGTTTTGTATCTGGTGAAGAACAGGTATAGAAGTATTGGAAAAGGCTGAAAAAGTACATATGGTTGGCTCAAGAGCAAGACCCCTGCTAGGTCTAGAGGTAGAGCAAGACTTGAGGAATTCCAGCTGCCCCTGGCAGGGGAGGGAAGCCAAGAAAGGCCTGTTACCATCCCTGACTCCTGGAGCCTAAGAGGCTCCTTCCAGGTTAAGATCCTTATATCCAATATTTTTCAGTAAGAGATTTTCCCTCTTTCTTTTAAAAAAGAATGCATCTTCTTTTATATCTGTTTAGGAACTTGTTAAGATTACATGTTTCTAAATGCATATGTAAAAACAGGATTGCTGACCAAAAAGAACATACATGTATCTATGTACTTGACACACATGTGCCAAGAGCTACTATTTTCTAATACTAGCTATATAGGTACACTTATATGAAAGTACTCTCACAAATATCAAAATCAGATTTTTTTTTTTTGATTTGGTCAGGCAGCCTTTAACTCTTGGCCTGGGCGCTATGATCATAAACCAAATAAATGACAGAAACAAGAGTTTAAGCACAGCACAACAACAGTACCAAGGTTACAAGTTACTCTTGAAGTTTCATGCCTAAAAGTGGACAGAGGAAGCTCTAACCCCCAAAAGTACCAAGGTGCTAAAGTGCTCCATTTGATACAGCACTGGAGGTTAAAAAGTCCTAGAGAAGACTAGGAAAAGATGACAAAACAGCTGCAACTTGAACACTATTTTCAGCATTAGCCACTAAACATGTTCCCTTGTTTCCAGATAAGAATGTAAACAGATTTGCCACTGCTGTGTAAAGACTCATTTAAGAAAAATAAAAAAGCTAATCTTTAGATAGAAACTCAACTTCAAAAACTGAAAATTAGGGGCTGGGAAAGTGGCTCAGTGGTAGAGCGCTTGCCTTGCATGCCTGAGGCCCTGAGTTCGATTCCTCAGCACCACATAAGCAAAAAGAAAAAAAAGCCGGAAGTGGTGCTGTGGCTCAAGTGGTAGAGCGCTAGCCTTGAGCTGGAGAGCTGAGGCACAGCGCCCAGGCCCAGAGTTCAGGCCCCACGACCGGACCCCCTAAAAGAAAAACAAAAAACAAAAACCCCTGAAAATTAGTTGAAACATTAAAATTAACAATTAGACAAAGTTCCATTATTATTACAGTATTATGATCAGAGCAATAGTTAATGGTAACCACACTTTCAGGCAAACACTAATTTACAAATTTCATTCTGAATTCTTGTATTTTTGACAAAACTTCTTAAAATCCTTTTTAAAATAAAAACTAAAAAGAAACACTAAAATATGGTGTTAAGAAATTCTCACCTGTGTTTTGATTGTGATCTTTTCCTTCTAGAATGGGATTTTGAGCTAGACCTGGACTTTGAGCGACTGTGGGAACGAGATCGACCGCCTTTTCTTTCATTGCTCTTTCCAGACTCTGGGAGGAAAAAACCACTTTGCAGTGTAAGCTCAGAACAATTAAAGATCCCAATTAATAATTAGGCACAAGTGGAATGTACCACATATATAGTGCAAGGGGCCTACTCTCTGCACATCCTCCTCCTGTGCAATTATCCTTCAGTAACATCCAAGAAAGTCATTGCATAAACTCGTTGAGTGCAGCCACCCTGCAGCAGTACATATAAACCAGATGATTATAAACAGCTGTTCGTAGTATTTTGTTGCTGCCATAATGTATGATTAAAACACGTCTGTAATTCCTATGACAGTGAATTTAATGCCTTCCTCTATTTATTTTGCTAGAATTGAAGTTTTAAGTACCAAGTATTATCTCAGAAAATCTACTCAAAGGTAAAATATTTTAAATTGGATTCTTATTTATCTGCTCAAAGGTAAAAACACTTTAGAATAGACTCCTTTACCCTGCTAAAACTTATCTGCACATTTTCTAAATCATGGTTTCTCTAGCATTAGAATTAAAATTTACAAAGAATGTAAACCTGCTTAATTGTAACATTTTTAGTGTACTTACTCTTTTTTTAGCTTCACAATATTATTCATACTTTGCTTTCAGGCAAATCAGTTCTGGACACTGATTGTGCTCACAAAGTTTCTAAGTAACTCTTTTGCTTTAATTTAGTATTACAAGAAAACACAATTCATACTAAATCATTCTTTGAGCAAGCCACTTACTATTTCTTGAGTTTCAGTCTTCTCAATGGTAAAATGAAGGAACTGAACAATACGATTTCTACAATTCCTTCCAGTTCTAAGGCTCTATGATATTTAAACTGCAAGGATATGGCCTTACCTGGTTCAATAGCTGCTGAGATAAATGACTGTGCCTCTCGTACTCGCTTCATTACTTCTTCTAATTCCTTAGCTGCAGCCTGAGGCGTCATCTCAGGGGGTTTTACTATTGCATTGTTGGAGTGATTTATTCTAAATTAAAAATATTAGTGTATCACAAATACACACATTTGGTGAAACATGAAACAAAAAAAATGTTACACGTATTTGTAAATCTGAGGATATCTCAGAAGCACATTAAAAATGACATAGCTAAATGCAGAGTAACCTAAGTCAGCCTCAAAACCAAGATTCACTTTTTTTATCCTCAACTCCCAAAAGCCAAGAAAAAAAAGAACACTTCTTTAATAAAAAGACCAGATCAAGTATTTTCTACACATCTTACAATTTTAAGTTAACGTGTGATATCAATTTGAAAATGGAATCACTTTTAGATATGATTTTGCTGGTAACCTGTACAAGCTAGCAGGATGAAGAGAATACTGTGTATCAACCCTGTCCCACAGGTGAGTCAGACACAGCTTCAAATGTGGGAGGTATCTGATAAAACTTCTACTAAACAAGAGTGGCTTCTCTGACAAACAGAAATGAATCTGATGTGTCCTCCTCCGTCCCCTCCACACTAAGAACAGCTATTTATTCTGTAACCATAAGCTCCTGATCAAACTGTGTAACTGAGACAATCATGAAATTCAGATAAAACTATGGTTGTCTTAATAATCCGGAAGAAATACAGGATTACTAAGTACCTGAAAGAACACACCAAATTTTTACAAACAAGGAGGTGAGCAAATATTAAAAGTTAACCTATTTGGCTTGCTGGGTATACTTAAATGTTATTTTTCTTCCTTGGATTTACCAAATTTTTAGTACTATAAGTATTATACTCCCATCTACAGGTTAAGCTGTTCATTAGCCTCCAGTCCTTATTATTCAACCAATCTAACTTCTTAAACCAAATAAAGACACAAAACCATTACATGTGGTTCATAAATAGTAAATCAAACCTTTAAAATAGGAAGTGACAAAATAAACATCTTCAAACGTATTAGAAATATACAGGCTAAAATGTCGTGTATTTGATTTATATTTAGCAGTCTTCCTTTCCACAAATTGACAATTACTATTAAAAGAAAAAAAAAGAAAAAAAGAAAAAAAAGCCTTAACTACATAAAATTTAATTAAAAATTATAAAAACCATTAAAATTTCTTTGTTTAGGATTTCTTACTTCAGTGGCCTGTCTCCAAACATAACTCCATTAAAAGCAAGGGCCCTTGGTACAGAATTTTGGTCTGCAAATTCCACAAAAGCAAACCGAGTTGGCTGAGTCTCATCACCTGCCATCCGTACAAACTTCACTTCTCCAACTTGTTTAAAAAATTCAAGTAGTTGATCAGCTGTTGTTGTCTGAGGAAACAAAGTGACACTTCAGTGGAATGCACTGTTGTTTTCTAAAATAAAATCCAGTAATTTTTTTTTTTTGGTGCTGGTCCTGAAGCTTGAACTCAGGGCCTGAACACTGACTGTCTCTGAGCTTTTGTGCTCAAAGCTAGTGCTCTACCACCTGAGTCACAACTCTACTTCCAACTTTTTGGTGGTTAATTGGAGATAAGACTTACGGACTTTCCCGCCCAGACTAGCTTAGAACCACAATTCTCCTCTTTTAGCCTCCTGAGTTGCTAGGACTAAGTAGGTGTGAGCCATGGGTGCTCAGCTAAGGTAAATATTATTTTATCAACTGAAAATATTTTTAAAAAGAATGAACTACCGCATTTGGTTTCTTCTTAAGTTACCTGGGAATTCAAATTTCCAACATAGACTGTTCTCCTAATTTCATCAATTTTGGAAGGGTCTACATTCCCCATAAGCGGTGGCTGTGGGATCTCTCCAAGTGTGGCGATGTTGGGATCTAGTGCTGCTGCTGGTATAGCTCCCAAACTGCTAAGTGAAACACCAAGCTATATTAAAAAAAAAAAAAAAACACAAAACATACATTTTCTATTTGTATCCAAATTATCATCTGTAATATTGAGAATACAATAATTCAACAAGAATGGAGAGTAAAGACTTCTAACTTTAAGCTATGTATATTTCCAAAACTGAACAATTAATTCTTATTAGTCAAAGTACTTATAGTCTATAAAGTTTCATAAGCAGCATTACTTGATATTGGAACCACTGATCCTAGGAAATATGTAACACTAAGTATATGGAAGCCTCTAGTTTTATTTTCATCAGGCAATAGACAATTTTCTTACATACATTTCTGTCTGAAGGCTTCTTAATTAGTATATTATTGATTCATCAATCAATGTTATTGATTCACTGGCTTCTGGTCAGCAACCCTACAGCTCAGCTTATGTACATGTGCATTTTCTTCGTAAGGCCTATCATTGGTTACCTGTATTTTCCTTTAGCACTATGCTAAGTGACTAGAAGTATAAAAATTCAAAAACTGTGACACTAAACAGACTGAAAAATTACACATGTTTACAGCATGTGTACTGAAACAAGAAAGTGCACCACCTATTTGATTTGGGAAATATGTATACCAAGCAATTGAAATTGCTTGTCAAGCACAATTGTCAAGCTCTTTATAATCTTACTACTTGAGAAATGAAAAAGGGTGAGAGTTTGAGGTTAGTTTGGGCAAAAAATTAGAAAGAACTGTTAAAGAACAAGCCAGGCATTGTGGGGTACGCCTGTAAGCAGGTACTAAGAAGTCCTAGGAAGACTCTATCTCATGCCCATAAGCCTGAGACCCTACCTATCTGAGCAAAAAGCAAAAGGGTAGGAGGCATGGCAAGCTTGTATACCAAGCACAAGTCCCTGAGTTCAAAAATTCAAAATCAAAATTTGTTTTTCCAAAAAATGACCACAAAATCAATGCTAGTACTACCCAGAGAAAAGGGGACACACAAAAATTTTTACCTAATATAACTGAATTCACAAACAATGAGGATTAACTGTACTTCAAACCCATCAATTGTCAGTTTCTGATTAACAATCGTAACATTTCATTTTGCCCAATTATTAACATAAGCCTTGTATCAACACTGTGGTTTTATTGTTATGCCAATTAAACAGATTAAGACATAAGAAAAATTAAACAATTTGCCCAAAGCTACTTAGCTACCAGTAAAAGCAGGGTAACAAGCATCAGACTTTAAGAAAAACTTCACTGTAAGCTCTTACTTATACTGTGGTACACAGAAACCTTTGAAAAAGCTTCCCAGAGCTTTAGTAAATTCAGTTACTAGTAACATACTAATGACGATGTTAACTATACTGTGAATTTAAACTAGAAGAAACAGAACATCTTAAGAGTTTAAAAAGGGAAAAACTGGGCTGGGAGTATGGCTTAGTGGTACTTGCTTAGCATGCATGAAGCCCTGGGTACCACATAAACAGAAAAGCCACAAGTAACACTGTGGTTCAAGTGGTAGAGTGCTAACCTCGAGCAAAAGAAGCTCAGGGACAGTGCTCAGGCCAAGGATTGGCAAATAAATAAATAAACAAATAAATAAGAACAAAAGCATTTTGCAAAGACGAAAAAAATATATAACCACTTTCATTTCTACTATGTTATTTTAGAAAATACAGACCACCAACAATACCTTCAAATATATTTACTATAAATTAAGGTTCAACAACCATTAAATAATCCTTCCCAAAGGTGAAAACACAAGTTTATAAAACTAATGCTAATTACTCGTCACATCAGCCATTTTGATCTTTTTTTTTTTTAAAAAAAGCCAAATCATATTATCATACTTCTTAGGAATCCTTTAGCAGCTACTAATTTCCTTAAAAATAAGATGCAATCTCCTCTCCATGATATAAAAAACCCTTAGGAATCAATGTCCTATCCATGTCTCCAATCTCAAACATCCACTGCCTTCCAATCATTCATTCACTATACTTCTCCCACACTAACAAGAGTTGGTTTTCAAACAGTTTGAGCTATAGGCAGGGCTTAGTAGTATAGCACTTGCCTAGCATGCCCCAAGTTCAAATCCCAGTATCACTGAAAAGAAATAAGTGTTCTCTCACAGGCCATAGTCATGCTCTCCAGCAGAACAATGCTATATAAACATTAAAAGACGTAAAGTTTGTATTTCAAAGTTTTGTATTTTCTTTAGTCTTTTCCTCCTCAATCCTGGGGCTTGAACTTGGTCTGGGCACTGTCCCTGAGTTTCTTTTGCTGAAGGTTAGCACTCTACCACTTTGAGCCAAAGTTTATGTGCTACTGAGGAACTGAACCCAGGCTTCATGTAAGCTAGGCAAGAACTACCACTAAGCCACATTTCCCCACCACCCTAGACTTCTTTTTTGGTACTGGTCCTAGGGCTTGAACTCAGGGCCTTGGTGCTGTCCCTGAGCTTTTGTGCTCAAGTTTAGCACACTATCATTTTAGCCACAGCTCCATTTTCAACTTTTTGGTGGATAATTGTAGATTAGTCTCACAGACTTTCTTGCCTAGACTGGCTTTTGAATACTATCCTCAGATCTCAGGCTCCAGAGTAGCTAGGACTACAGGTGCAAGCCATAGGCACCTGGCTCTAGACTTGTTTTTCAAGAACATAGTTTAAAGAACTCTTTTTCTTTTTTTTTTCCCCCTGCGGCTTAAACTAGGGCCTGCACTGTCTTTAAGCGCTTTTCATTAAAGGCTAGCGCTCTACCACTTGAGCCAGGTTCCCACTTCAGCTGTTCTGGGGTAGTTTATTGGTGATAAGAGCCTCATGGACTTTCCTGCCCAGGCTGGCTTCAAACCATGATCCCCAGATCTCAGCTTCCCAAACAGCTATGATTATAAGATGTGAGCCACTGGCACCTGACTCTCATTTTCCTTTTTAAGATGAATATGACAAGAAAAACCAAGTGCCCATACTATTATCTGGATTAACCTTACTTGGAAATCACCAAGGAGGAATCCATTCTGTGATTAATGAAAAATGTTTTTACCATGTTTGTACCTTACATTTTCTCAGCATCAGATAAACGTTTTTCTAAAATACTTTTCACGTTAAGGTTGTGGATCATCATATATTTTTAAGATGGACTTAGTTTTCATGAACTAAATTTCAATAACTGAGTTTCTAATGAATTATCTACCCTAGTTCTCAAATTTAAATGACTCTCCAATTAATTCCAAAAAACTAGCTCAATTCAGTGATAACATATGGGAAAGATCTAAGTAGATTTTTGAATCCTCTCCCTTAATAACAACAACAAGAGGCAAGTTTAAACTCCAGTACCACCAAAATATAAAAATAAAACAGGTCCAAAGTAGATAAATTGATTACATAGTTCAACAATGACTTCTTTTTTAGATGGTTTATGATACTTACTGTAGTCAAGGGATTTGGGGTTGGTATGGGAAGCAATCCTGCCCCAGGCATCAGACTTGTCATAGTTGGAGCAGGAGCCAATAAAGACAGGGCTTTGGATTCCTCTGGGATTTTACCTGTAGAGGCAAGTTCCAAACATTATGGAAAGCAGAAACACCACACCAACTTTACACTATGATTTTACAATTACCCTTGCACTTAAAAAAATAATAATAATAAATGAATCTATTAGATCCGTATAAAGAAATAAATAAGAACTTAAGTCTTTCCTTTTATCCTGCTCTACTAGGAAAAATAAAAAGTGAGCAAAACTTCAAATACTAACAATCTCATTAATGGAATATTATTTTAAAAACTGAATAATGTAGACAATTATTTAACACTTTGAGCTATGGGTCACCTGTACTGGAAACTTAATGTTCATGAACCAAACGATATCAAGCATGGACGCTTTCCCAGGACGGTGTTTTCGCGGTGATCGAAAGTTGTGTTACACATGACAACCGTTCGTGTTGGCTGCATCACTAATAGCACACAGAACATCAGATACAGAAAAGAAGAACATTTTTTAAAGTTTAATCCCCAGAAATGGCAAATAACCAAATTAGTCAAAAAAAAAGAAAAAGAAAAAACAAATATGTGCGAATTGAATTTGTTCCTTAATGAGTGCCTCTACCCTGTTACTGAACCTACTTGTGATGCAAATAATTAGGATTACCCTCCAAAAGATTCAACATCAAATTAACAGAAGAAAATAAAAAACTACTTCATGTAATCGGCTTCAATTTAGAAGGAAGTCTACACCCATTCAGTTAATAAGGCCTCTCTCCAAGAATACATATCTGATACTTAAAAGAATCTAGTTCTATAGAACAGGCTTGGGAAATTGTTAAAAAATTATATGAGAATTAAAAAAAATTCCTTGTCTTTGGAAACTTCTTAAAATATTAACTTTTAGAACCAACTTATGGATACTTATAATTAATAAAATCTTTTAATTAATAACAAGAAATTAATACTAATCTTAGAAACTAAGGGAAAAAAGTCTACACTCTAAAAATCAAATTTACTCCAAAGTAAATTCATGATTAGCCATATTCAACTGCTCAATTGTAATAAATTAAATCTAGTACTGAAACTTTCACATTCTCCTCATCTTCTTAGCAAAGAAAATATTTTTTAAAAGTTGACTACATGTTGATATGTTTAGAACTACTCATATGTGGCAGTTGGCTATGTATTCCCATTATGAAATCATTAAAAGTATTTTAAAAGTGTACAAAAATTACACTAAGCTGAAATAAATATATGTAATAAATTATCAAAAAGCACCATGCTGGTTTCAGTGGCAAAATCCTGCCTAAAACAACCAGTGGAACAGAAGTAAATATCTAAACAACATTATAGAATTCAAGATGGAATTACAAACTTGCTTTAAGTAATAGTCATCTCATCTAGTGAGCAGAATAAAATTATTTTAGTAGCTTTAGCAATTGCCTATTTTCTAACATTACAGTACTAAGTTTATGTTACTTTAACTTCAAAAGACAGTACTTCTACATAAATTTTGAATAGACTTAACATGCATAGAAACAAAAAGGCCTTACTGAAGATGTGAAATCCTAACTTATTTTATATGTATTAGTTACTTATATTAACACATGTATCTATGTAACCATATATATTATACTATTTATATTGATATTACATTCATTTTATCTTTTGTAAATAGTTATTTTAAAAATTGTTGTAAAACCTAAGTACCTTTGATAAATCAATTTGGGTCCTGAGGTGCAAACTGTCTTCCACTATCCTAACTTTTGTACACTAAAAATCCCAAACATTCCAATCTAATAATGTGACAAATTTAAAGCAGCTTGCCAATTAATATGCCAAATTACATATAAAGAGTGTAGAGACTTCACAAACAAAAAAGGATACTCAACAGGGGCAAAAAGTTGATTATACTATGAAATCTCACTTCTACCTTAAGAACATATCTACAGGTTGTCAGATGCTTATTCCTTTCCATGATAGTAATAATTGATAATTAGGCTGACACCTGTTAGGCTCGACTTTATCTTTCCTAAGTGTTAACATTTATAAAAAGAAATCTGAAATTCACAACAAAAAATACTTAAATCTGTTAAAAGTCAACTGTAAATTTAATAGTTTTCGTCTTAAATTTGATTTAAGGTGCTTTAAAAATACCATTCCTTAATTTCCAAAATAAAAATCTTTATAAAAATATATCCTCTATACAGTTACTTTTCCCAGATTGTACTCTTCAGAAAAACCAGAGTGGGATAAGGGGACAATTTCTCTTATATTATTAAAATATAAATCCTAGCTGGGTATCAGTGGCTCATGCCTATAATCCTACCTACACAGGAGGCTGAGATTGGAAGATCATAGTTCAAAGCCAGCCCAGGCAGAAAAGTCTGTAAGATTCTTATCTTCAATACATTACTCAGAAAAAGCTAGAAGTGGCGCTGTGGCTCAAAAGTGGTGGAATGCTAGCCTTGAGCACAGAGAGAGGCTCAGGGACAGTGCCCAGGCCTGAGTTCAAGTACCAGGCCCAGCAAAAAATAAAAAATAAGTTAAAAAAAATTTTTAACATACCTATGTGTGTGTAGATTTAAAGGCTAGTAATCTCTAAAGAATTTCAATAAAAAAACTCAAGCAAACTGAAAAACACAAATAATGAACATTTTCTCAAATATCCATTCACCACATAGGGTAAGAAAAGGTCTTTATAAAACAAGCTAGGAAAAAAAAAACCCTTTCCTCTCCTTTTAGAATGTTATATAAAATTTACTTATTTTAGTTGATGACTTTTTATGCCTGAGTTCTAGGGGAACAAATTGAAAATTAGAAGCTATCAGTTGTTTTTTTTTAAGATGTGTAGACTAGGGGGAAAGAAACTTACAAAACAGTGCACTGAGATGAGAAAGTATTCCTAATGTTTCAAAAACAAAATGTACCTCATCAAACTATAAACACCAAATAGGACTCACACTGAGCTTCACAACACTATAACTTACTGCATGAAAATGTATCTTAAGGCTGGGTTCTGTTAATCATCTCCCCATATAATTTGCAACACATTATGAACTTTTAATGGAATACCATTTACAAAGAACTGGAAAACCAGCTCACAAGTTAAAAGTGAAAGAGATTTAACAAAACAAAAAAAAAAACAAAAAAACAAAAGAAAAAGGGACAAAATAAAGAAAAAGAAATGAAATTAAAAGTAAAACAATAAAAAACAGAGACAGGGCGTCCATCTTCTGCGGTTCAGACTCCGATCGCATTTCCCCAATGAAGGTTTCACTTGACGGCAGGTTTAGTGGCATGGCAAACAATGCCTAACTCAGGCAAGTGTAACAGGTCTGCCTTGGCCAGTCTAGTCATCTAATAATGCACAAATATCACATAGAGAAAACATACAAAACCAAATTAATAGTCAAAATCCATCTACCAGAAAATGTGGACATAAAGTTATGACTGATGATTAGGCTGACACCTGTTTTGTTTGACTTTATCTTTTCTAAGTGTTAACATTTATAAAAAGAAATCTGAAATGCACGCAACAACAAAAAAGAGGTCATATTTAGACAAGTATAATGAAAGTACATTTTATTTTCAATGGCATGTCTGATCAACAATAGTTATTGCTTAATAGTTGTGAACTTGTTAACATAATACACCAAACATATTAGCCCCTCTAATCTAAAACCAGCAAATTGAAGAAAACTGAAAAGACTTTTCACAAATATTTTTTCAAAAGTTTTTTTTCTCATCTACATCATGCTATTACTTCTATGGTTGGAAGAACAAACACAGTTAGCAATAAGTGCAGAGGCTGCTTTTAGCACTACAGAACATCTCCCTAGAGCTTCCTCACTATCCTTGGTCTATTTCAAGCTGCCTCTGCTACCATGTTTTAGTCTAAGAATCCATTATTTCTATGCTGGTAGTGCATAATCAATCACTTTTAATAGCTGTGAAATCTTCAGGTTCCACAGTTCACCCTCATATCTAAATAACTAATGAAAATGTTTATCTGAATGTTCTTAATACCAGTTATTTTACTGGTTTGTGTTCTGACATTTTTACTTACTCAAAGTACAATAAAAGTATGCTTTAATTTGCAAATCAAAAATTTAGTAAACTGTCTTAAAATAGTAGTATTAAAAATATATTTATTTTGTAACTAAATGCCCATTTATCCATCTCTATATCAAGTAAAACAAACAGTGAGAGAGACCTCTACAGGCTCTATAGGCCCATAACCTTGACCATTTATAACAAAATAGGGCTTGCTTCTCTAATAAATGATTCTATGGGAATATGTTATCTAGTTCTTCACTCCTTCCAATTTACTAATAATGACCTAACATAATATAGATCCTATGCTACTGGTGGTACAATTTTCTTATATAATATTCCAGTTTTACAAATTGCATTGTGTAATTTCTTTTTTTTTTGGGGGGGGGGGAGGGGGGTCCAGTCATGGGCCTGAACTCTGAGCCTGTGCGCTGTCCCTCAGCTCTTCAGCTCAAGGCTAGCGCTCTACCACTTGAGCCACAGCGCCACTTCCAGCTTTTTTCTTTTTGCTTATGTGGTGCTGAGGAATCGAACCCAGGGCCTCAAGCATGCAAGGCAAATACTCTACCACTGAACCACCTTCCCAGCCCTGTGTAGTTTCTTAGTATGAATTTTAGAACTAAACACTAGCTCCATTCCCATTTCAATTTCCAACTTTGGGCTTTCTATACGCTTACAGAATATCCAATAAGCATATATTAAGCATAAAATTAACTGTAATCCATTTGCACACTCCCTACCTATTCTAACCCTGAATCCAAGATGTCTTATTCTGGGACTTCAAAATTACCAGCCTGGTATTCACTGTTATTTTGACATCCCAGAAGAGACATTCTGAAGCAAGCAGCAAACTACTTCAGATACCCTACAATATTTTAATACCAAGCCCAGAACAAGTTTTTTTAATTACCTATCAAAGTCTATTAAACTGTTTGAGAAACCTTTCTGTTGTAAAAGTTACCATCATCCATCAGAAAATATCTATTTGACAGTACACTTAAATCTATTAATAATTCTCAAGTCTGCATATACGTGCCAGTCAGTGCTCTAGCTAATTACAAACCAGAAATGTTAAAATTCAGCAAGTCTATTACATGTGAATGGTTCTGTAAAAAGAATTTACTAAAAAGTATTAGCAATTAGATCTTTTTTTTTTGGTGCCAACTCATGGCCTGGGCTCTGTCCCTGAGTTTTTCCCCTCAAGGCTAGCATTCTACGACTTGAGCCACAGCGCCACTTCTGGCTTTTATGGTGGTTAACTGGAGATGGTAGCTTCATGGGCTTTCCTGTCTGGGCTGGCTTCAAACCATGACCTCAGATCTCAGCCTACCTTGGATTACATGCATAAGTACCCAGGAATAATTAGCTCTTAAAGTAGTTTAAGGCATAAAATTTAACAACTATCTGTAAGACCTCTGACCCTGTACCTATCTTTGATAACTATTTGTTTGATGGAAACTTTGAAGAATGATTTATTTTTTTCAACTTATCTCCCCCAAAAAAGCCAATAAAAGGAAAAAGTTCCAGGTGTATAACAAACAATTACACTGAAAATGAAAATGAATCGAGTCACAGTAATGATTAAGGTATATTACCTTTAAAGGATATAGAAAAGTATAAATTAGGAATATTTTTCTAATGAATATAAATATCTCTCAGCATCAAGTTGGCAAAATGTGTACACTGTCTTACTTATAATTTTAATACTGAACACAGGGGTAAAGTTAAATATTTTTCCATTTCAAAAACCTTTTCATAATCTGCAAACTGACTATAGAAAGACAAATCAAATTAGAGAAAACAGAATCTGAGAATATTTCAAATGGTAAGTTGTAAAACCGCATATGCAAGTAATAAATTAACCACTTTAATTTTCTATTAAGCAAAAGTTCTTTCCTTTCTCCAAATTTCTTTGAGTGTGGATGTGTGTACACAAAAGTGTGAGTGCACCATGTGCATACACGTGCATATACACATACCCACACACCCCAGAGGATAGTCTACTTTACATGACAATTTCTAGAAGAGCCATAAGGCTGTAGCAACAGATAAGACAGTTTAAACAATAGTATAAAAAAAATTCAAGATACCAACCTTCTGCACAAGGAACAACTATCAGAGCTCTGTCAATAAAAACCGTGTTAGTTAGATGCTGGGCCACACCAACACTTGATGGGTCACGAAACTTAATATAACATACTTTGGAGGAAAAAGCAAGAGGTGTGTTGCTGCAAGATAAAAAAAAAAAAAGACTAATAAGCATTTGGTCTTGTCAACTTACATTTAAAATTTCTTCCTTACATCTCTACATAATCTTAACTAACCAAAACTTGGGAAATTTTTGTTGCTAGGGATCATTTAGACAGGAAATGGCAAAAACCTAGTTATTTAATGATGATTTGTCTAATGAAAAAGAAAGCAATCTAGGCACTCATACAGTCAGTCTGGGAGGCCTGGTTGAAACACAGTCTCACTGTGTATCCCAGGCTAGCTTCAAATTCACCGAGGCTGGTCTCAAACTCATGATCCTCCCTCAACCTATCTGGGTAAGGTCTATAGGTTTAATACATAAAATTTGAAAATCAATCCTAATTCCAGGTGAAATTCAAAAACAGCTTTATGCAACCCAAGTGTTCAACCAGTGTGTCATCGTAAATAGGCAAAAATCTCTATAAACTCCAATCTCAAGACTACAAATCTAGCCGGGCGCTGGTGGCTCATGCCTGTAATCCTAGCTACTCAGGAGGCTGAGATCTGAGGATCGCGGTTCAAAGCCAGCCAGGGGAAGGAGAGACCGTGAGACTCCTATCTCCAATAAACCACCAGAAAACCGGAAGTGGCGCTGTAGCTCAAGTGGTAGAGCGCTTGCCTTGAGTGACGAGCTGAGGGACAGTGCCCAGGCCCAGAGTTCAAGTCCCACGACCGACCAAAAAAAAAAAAAAAAAAAGACTACAAATCTGTAACCAATTCAACCCTTCACTGAAATCACTAAAAATGGGTTAAGACTGTTCACTGGTAGCATATAAAGTCCTGGATTCATCCAAAGCACTGGTTAAAAAAAATTCATAATTAGAAATTAGAAACAATCAAATAGTATGAAATTAAATTAAGGTCCTTCACATGTGCCAGATGATTCAGAGTAGATAGTAATGTTTTTTTTTTTGCTGGGGCGGGTTGAGGGAGGGTGTCGGTGATGGGGCCTGAACTCTGGGCCTGGGCGCTGTCCCTCAGCACTTCAGCTCAAGGCTAGCACCCTACCACTTG